TATTAAGTTATCTATTTATATGTTTCAGGTGTATTTAAATCATGTGTTTAGTTTGTTACATATATGAAGATGAATTTATGTGCTTCACTTTACTCTTTCACGTTAATGTGGGGTTGAAATTTGGGCCTAATTGTTGATTGTTAAATTTAGTATAAAAAAAAAAAATTTGGGCCCCTCACAAAAATGGGCCCTGGACACATGCCCCACTTGCCCCTCCCCATAACCGGGCCTAGTCTCTGATTTCTAAAAAATACAGCGGCGGCTCAAAGTTACGACGAATTATTTCAGTGAGAATGTTCAGTTTCAATCAGTGAGATTTGTAGCTTGGAACAAAAGAAACACTTTGGTGGTGTCGGAATCGCGAGAAGTGGTCGGAGTTGGCCGGAAAATGACCGAAAAGCCACGAAGAGGTGGTTGCGGTGCTAGCAGCTCCGGGAACGGATCAGGAAAATTTTTGGGTGGGGTTTGTAGACCTCAGAAAAACAAAGAGATGGACGCATGTTTCGTCGAATTCCAACTGATGGATCAACGAGAATCTTGATTTTTTCGGTGAGATGGGATGTGTTCTTGAAAAAAAAAGAATGGGGAAGGCAAAGATGGATCTAATTGGAGAAGAAAGGGTTGGACATTTTAATCTTCTAGTTAAATAAAGTCTTTTAAGGTCAATGTTAGTCAACAAGCCAAAGTTGGTCAAACTCGAGGTCAACATTTTTTAAAATTGGTCAATGCCTCTGCATGCGCAGGTCATGTATCACCCTATGCGGGTCGCGTGCACCAATCAGATACGAGCCACTATTTGTGAGCATTTTTGGTCTTGATCAGGTCCGATGGTACGGGTAGGACATGTACCATTGCATGGGTCGTGTAGACTGGGCGCGCTGTTAGATTAGGTGTCTAAGCCCATAACTATTTTGGTAAGTATTTGACCCGATTATGAGCATGGTCCTTTTGGGTTGCCTTCACCATAGCAACTTGTAGGATGAATTATGAAGAAGGAGGATTAATTATGATTTATTAATATATTATAAGAATAATATATTAAAGGAGAAATCATATTGTTTAATTAATATTAGTCAAGAATTAATTAAGAATTAATTTTGTGGCTAAAAGAGATTAATTAAACTTAGGGGACTATTATGCAAATCATTGATAGTTGCATAATTGGGCTAATGGACTCCATAGAAGTTAGAGTGGACGAAATCTATGGGGAAGCCCATAAGAATTCGTCCAAGGCCTCTAAGGAGGGAGTCCATGGACTGCTTAGGGCCTAAGCAGTCAAATTAGGGTTTCCTAGTTCAAAACCCTAATAGCCTAACTATATAAGGACCCCCTAAGGCCCCAAAAACGTGGTGAAGTGATCCCTAAGGGTTCTTGGATGTTTTTGTGCCTCTCCTCTTTCTTCTTCTTCATCCTTATTGCTAGTGGTGTTTGTGACTCCATTAGAGGTGCAACATTTGAGGCACTAAGCTTTCAGAAGTCAATTACAAGAAGGATTCAGATTGTTATTACTACATAACAATCAAGGTAATATCTAAACCCTATTTTATGTTAATATCGATTATCACATGCTAGATCTAGGGTTTATAAGCTTTGGATGATTATTGCATGTTCATTATACAAACTAGATCCAAAGCTTTAGGGTTTGCATGTACACCATAGGATTGATGTAGTGCTCAAAACTCATCAGTGGTATCAGAGTCTAGGCTGTTTGTTTGATGTATTTGATGCTATAGTTGATCATTCAAGCTTAAAATCGCAAAATTCTGCTTTCTGGGGGCTGGACTCGCCGAGTCCATGACTGAACTCGACGAGTCCGGTGCTGACTCGACGAGTCAGAGTCGTAGATGGCTGATTTTGCGGGATTTTGACCTATTTTGCTGTGGGATAATTACCAAAAACGTTTTTAATTAATAAAATCCGATTTTTATTGATTTTGTGTGATTATCCTTCCCAAAATAGTAGATAATTACCAATTAATCAAATAATTATTGCCTTATAAGATAATATTTAATTATTTGAATTATTTGATGAATTATCTTGCATGAAATTGGATTAGGTCAAATTAGATAATCATAAATTAATTGTTTAATTTTTAATTATTTGCAATTTGATCTTATGTGTTTTAAATAGTTTCAAAACTTGCCCTCGAGTTTTGGGATTTAAATTTTTTGATTAAAAGTTTAATTTTGAAATATTTAAATTCTTAAACCCTAGTAATTTGAAAAGTTTAAAAAGTGTACCTCTTGGTTTTGTAATTTAAAATTTAATTAAATAACTTTAATTTTGAAATCTTAAATTTAGAACCTTGATGTTTTGAATAGTTCAAATTA